ATTTTTGTCGATATGTTTGAAATATTTGGATCTCTGTATTTCAACCACATTTCACTTTCTTTTAGAATTAATTAGATGATGTAGTTAGAATATTGTGATTTAATTACTTGCGGTTCCGCCGTTGTTAATAACTTTAAATTTCAGATACCGCTTACATTTTTGTTTTGCATATTTATATATATCTCTTATATGTATCTGTGTGTAAATACATATATCGTTTTAGATAAATTCTATTCGTAAGCACTTTGTGCGAATTCTCGAGGCTTTTATTTAACATATATATATAAACTGTCGATCCGGTAAGATGTTCTTTCCGCAGCCACGCTCAAATCAAAACTGATCGCTTCAAGCGAACTCAACTCTTACTTGTGTAGTACGCATACGTGCTATGTAGATACATATGTATGTACATATCTCTTTAACAATGACGACTCAGCTTAAATATCATATACCTTTTCGCATAATGGAAGCTTTTAAATACACCCAGAACTACGCTTGTGATTATTTTTCGCTACGAGTTTACCTGTGGTGAATTTCTAAGCCAAGTTTAATGTTAAACTGACGTTGCTAAAAAATTAATCCATCTAACTGTGTACATACAAATTGTAAAATGTGTGGGAGCAAAAACATTTTTTTTTTTTAATCTTTATTTAACCATCTCCGACTGATGTGGTAATGTGGCAGACACCGAAAGATCGAAATTTTCCCCGAGCTTAAATAGCTTTGATTACTAAAGACGCATATTTTTCGTCATATATAACAATCGAAAATATCGATAGAATTTCTAGTTTCAATCGAAAACAAATTTATTTAAAAATATCTAACATATATGTATATTTTGATCTGAAAAATTGGTGTTTGAGGGACTGCACGTCAGTAAAATAGCGAAATTTTGGTCAAATATGGATTTATAATACATTTAACACACACTCCCTTCACTCGTGCTGAGGCCAAGCCGCTCAACCAATTAGTGGTGTTTTAAAGCGAGAATAAATACCAAACCTTGTCATATAATCTCGGTGAGTAATCATGTTTCTTAATCAATTTCAAGCGTTGATCTGGTGTAAGAATTTTCTTTTAGCATTTTTTGCATAAAAAAAAATAATTCTCCAAGTGTATATATCAGTAAACAAAAGAGTTTCCGACCCAAAGCCGTTATTGTTAAGAGCTCATTGTCAATTTATTGTAGTTATATACATACATATGTATTTGTATCATCATTCGACTGGAATACCTTTGTTGCCAAAAGCCGGCATTCTCACAGAGTGATAAGAATGAATAAAAAATGTACATGTACATATGTATGTATGTATGTAACTAAAGTAATGAAATTTACGTTGATGTTATTTACGATTTGTAGGATTAACTCTTTATATTTCTCGTGTACATACCTATGCATGTATGTATGTATACATGCAGTAAGCTAATATCTGTGGTGAGGAGTCTGGCTTTAATATAATGCTTCATTTGCGGTATTTTATTATTTATGTAAATGTTGTTGTAAAGTGAACGTCCGTCCATATGGTAAATTTTTTGCCAATAACAACAAAAAAGCCGCATTCAATTCGCAACCCTTAAGGCCCGTTTACATACAACTTTGGCATCGCTTTGACAGCAGCGCGAGTAACACTCGTACTTGCTACAATGAACGCTTAGCAGCGAATACTTTGGTCACTAAATTAACTGTAAACTGTATAGTCAGCTGTCGAGCGACGCCAACGCCAACGCCAACGCAACGTCAAAGTTGTATGTAAACGGGCCTTTAGCGAGTGGCGAAACGAACGAAATTTATGAGGTACAACCAAACTCGCCAACGTTCATCGCTGCTGGCTAACTTTGCTGTAGCTTTCAATATATACATTTTTTCATTAAGCTAGTAGGTATGAATCCAAGAGAGCAGAAGGTGGCTCAAATTATCATCAAAGTGCGTTAAAAATTGTTTTCCAGTTTAGGTAATAAAACAGGGAAATTATAACAGGAGCATCCATATACGTATGTATATATGTAGTTAGATGTATGTATCAACTTTACTTCAAAAATTAATCGTATGGCCTTATTCATAAAAAATAGGTTTAAAGAGCTTTATAAAGTGACATTTTCATACAAATTTTCGATTTATAAAGTAATTAAAGTCCTCTTTATTTTTTATGAATTTTGGGGTTAGACTTTAAACAAATCGACAGTCGCCCACAAGATTAAGTTGTTAAATAACCGACGGAAATAACTTATGCGGCTTATTTAACACAATCTTTGTCGTAGAAAAAAGCGGTGGTTTAAAAAAGCTTCGCACGTCTTTTCAGTCGTACGCATGTACGCATGTACGCATGTAAATATGTATATGGATATGTACACATACTGCATATATGTATGTTTGTGTGCATCTATGCTTGTGTTCCTCTGGGGAATGAAGAGAACTTGTTAAAAGTTACAATTTCCGTTTCCGCTAAAAAGGTGTGGATGAATGCGTTGTCCTTTTTCTTTGCTGAGCGATTTCTGTGTAAAAATGTGTATTAAACCAAAAACAAAAGGAGTGTTGTTTGAACGAATCGGAATCTCGGAAATGGAAACATGTAGCAGGGAAACTCGGAAGTTTCTGATGAGGATAAATGTACAGGATATAGCATATATCAAATTCAATTCTAATTGGCCACATATTTGAACAAAATTTAAGTGTTAAGGTGAGCTCACATTCATCAACTTGTCATCAAACAAATTTTATTTCGTATTCAATTTGCGCTTATGTACATATGTATATTAATGCGCTTCATTTTATTAATTTTTATTTTTTTACAGATATTGCATTGAGTTTGAAGTAATTAAAGCGGCTAAGGAATGCCACAAGTTGGCACCCTACAATCTACTTATGGAAGGTGGGTTGTTTGTAAATATATATGTATGTATGTTTGTATGTACGTGTGTAAATAAATATTCTATTATAGGCGATCGGATAGCAGTTCATTGTAACAAGCGAGGAACTTACCATAAATTGAATTTACGGAACGACAAAATGAATTCAACTCCAAATAACGAAGACAATTCATATTGGCCAGAATATCAATTAGACAGTAATGCTTTTGAAGGAGATGAATCAAGTTCAGCAACAGTTAGCATTGGCATGAATACCGTATCCGTTACGACACCTCTGGCTTTGCGACGCCCCATAGTTCATGCTAATGATGGGCAAATTTCGGACAATGCCCGTTGTCGAGGCGAAGGCGTGCCGGGAAGAACTACACGATGGCGAGCACTGGCGGCACCGTCATGTCGCGGCAAGTGGTTGCGTCTTACTTTAGGAACGCCCAAAAAATGTCCACACTCCAAATTTGTATTCGTTTAATAAAATTGACAGACGAGTTTTGAAAACAACTCGTTTTAGTAGGAATTTCATATAAATCAAACGAATAAAAATCCTTTATTAAACGGTTATAAATGAAACACATACAATATATACATAGCGATTAGTCTTTTAACAGGAATTGACTTTATCTATGTATAGTACATATTTTAAAAGAAAAGCAATCTAAACTTCGTTTTTTCAATAACATTTCAAATAAGGCTATTACTACAACAAATTGTAAAGCAAATACCAAAAGATAATTGTATAGTTTTCTAGTAATAACGCCACATTAAATATACGATTCTGTTAAGTTAGAAGTAGTGGAACCCTAGACGATAAGATGTGTGAGTGAATGTAACATCTACATAGACATTTATAATAGTAACTAAGTAGGTCCTATGATTAGTTAACATTTACTTAAAGGAAATTACATACGTACATATATCGTGACAGTGTACATATCCTTCTGGGAAATCATCATGATCTTTTCACTTCCTTTTTTATTTCTATAATTTACTAAGTATATTATTTTTTAACTTTATAGAGATAGTAGTCGATCAGGCACTTTTAGCTAAGTATATGTATGTAGGTCGTGTTAATTTGAGTCTTCCCAACATGCATACATACACACATCCAAAAGTAGTCTCTATGTATTTTAGTATCTAGACTTACATTGTATGTATTAAGTGAAAAGTGAAAAAATGTATTTGTTGTAATATTTCCCATATTGAAGCTATAAAGAAGATACTGAAACAAATTTAAAATGTATGCAGTTTCAATGTTTGTTGTTTGTTTATGGGTTTGCTAGTTCAAACGCTGCCTTGCAGATGAACTAAATACCCTGCAGCAAATCAAACGGGTTCAGAACTTGCGCCGAGCTAGCCTGAAAAGGGACGGTACTGGTTCTTCATCTATCCCAACTCAATGCTTTGAACTGTCTTTTTTTTTTAAATGGCGATGTCCTACGTTGTGAAAATTGTCGCCCTCTGCAGAACTTTTGAACTTGTTCTGAACTGACTCTGGCTTAGATTGTTCTGAAAAAAAGGGTCACCTCCGGGCTAGAACAAATGTGGTTGGTTTTGAGCTGGTTCCAAGAAGTATAGTACAGAGCCTTTTCTTTAAATACTGTAATTTTAAATAACTACGCATACAATTTTGTAAATTAAAATACTTCATTTTATTATTTAAAGAGCTACTTGTTTTGCACTAATTTGATTTTTGAGGCAAACTGTGCTATAAAATTAGGAGCCAAAGTGTCAGTTATTCCTTAATTTTCTAAAACCGTTATTCTTAAAAATAAGTTATATTTGTTACGTATAATGGCAATTTCTGTGATACTTAGGTCTCCTTTTATGCGCTATTTTTATGCGGTTTTGCAAACCATTTTTTGTTTTTTTTTTTGAGGTTTCTATTACTTTTTTTCAGTGTATAATTAATTTGTTTTTGTATGCTTACATAATTCGTGTATTTATTGTGGTATTTTTGGTTTTGTTTTTGGTTGAAATACAGATAAAAACCTATTTATTTCATTAATGTTCAGTTTTACATGGAATATGTTGAAGTGCAGAAATAAATTGTTTTTGTTTTTTTTATGCTTAATATTGTCTTACTAGACTACTCCACTACTACTCCATGCGATTTTTTAGAATTTTTTATTAGGATTGTCTGTATTTATGCGGTTTTTGAAAATGCTGGAACGCATCCCCTGTTTTTGCATAAAAAAACCTAAGTATTTAGAATTTTGAATATTCTCAATGGTTTGCTATTGTCTTCGTAAACTTTTTTTAAGAATGGCTCATAAGTATAATAACATAAACATATAAATTGACGTTTCTAACAGGAGCGGAAATTTAGTAGAATTTTAGAAACTGTTATAAAAACTTCAATATTTTAAATCGGAGTTAAAAGTATGCAATTTTATAGCCCATTAAATTTGAGTACAATTTATCGCGCTGATTTTTCATAACTCTTTTTACGCACGCTCTTGAAGGTATTCTCCTATTTAATTATTTTCTTTTAAGATGCAAGGCTACACTTTACTACACCAAAATTTGATGGGCTACTAAAGTAAATACTTGAAATATTTATAAAAAAAACTGTGATTAAAAAGTTTAGAATTTGAAGACCGTTTTACAGTTCTATCAAGTTTGCTGCATAGTTCGGAAATGAAATTTAAATGGTTTATGGAATATGAGACGAACTTAAATAAAAACTTAACGAAAAATATATAAAATGAAAAACATTGAAAAAAAATGACTGCATAACTACACATTTCGGGGATCAGTGATATATTTGCGCATGTACAATATCGGTCATATCAATTGCACCCTCATTTCAAAGCGAGATTGTTTACCACTTTTGTTTATTTTTTTTTATCTGATTAAAAGTTCGAAAATTTTTATTAAAAATCATTAAATTTTGCTTTGTTTTGTTTGAAGTTTGAAAACATGGTCTATATGATTTTGTTTTAAGCTTGATAATTTTTTTTATAAAATAATAAACAAATTTTAACTCTCAATATATAGTGAATATTAAAAAAAAAATGGTGTACGCAGACTTTTGCTGTTAAGTGTAGCTTAACTAAATTCTATGGTTATATTTTGCATTAAATTTTATAAGTACGTGTATGTATGTATGTATAAAAAAGACATTAATGTTACCAATAACGACTTTTTTGGACATCTTTTAGCAGTTGCCCCATAAACTATGTAGAGAATTACATATTAAATAAACGAAAACAGTTTGCTATTAGTTTTGGGTCTAAGAAAATCGAAAAAATACATTGACGACAGCGCAACTAGCAACATATAAGTTTCAACCGTCCAGCTCTGCATCCCTTTTGCAGTAGTTCAGGGACAGTTATGTAATTTGTAGGGCGGAACTTGCGCTTTGCCCCAAATTTTGCTGCAGGGTACATATTGACTGCTGAGTGGAACATCAACGCATCTAGGCAGCCAGTTCGAAAATGCCCTATCGCAAAAAACTTTTCAATAACGCGTTATTTCAGAATTTTATTGAAAAACACCCCATCTCAGAATTTGATTGAAGAACGCTCTATCCAGAATTCGGTACAAAATTGCCCTATCTCACTTCAAAATGTATTGAAAATGTGCTGATATAGGGCGTTTTTGAATCGGAAGCTGTGATAGTGCGTTTTTGAAACGAATTCTGAAATAGGGCGTTTTTCGACCAAATTCCGAAATAGGGCATTCTTGAAACTTTTTTTGAGATAGGCCGTTTTCGAACTGGTTATCAGACATATAACTTACTTCATTGTGCTACCCATGAAAAATATTTGGAAATGTACTTGTTTTTTGATTTGCCACTTCCTTGTACTTACTTTATATGTTGAATTTTTTACACCTTGTAGATATTATGACTTTTCTCAATCAATTCGATTTGAGATAAAATTCTAAATTAATTGCAACCATTTTCCAATTACCAAAATCCGTAAAATTACCCTTCACTTGCTATGTTCAACACATCCGATTTTAAATATTATTGAAAGATACCTCTAGGCCCCATATTTATCCCTTTGAGGTCGCATTGACCTGAATTGCCCCGTTCAACCAGTAACTTGGGTTATCTCAGTTTCTACCAAGCTAATTTAATATACAGCCAATGCATACGCACATATGTACCTATGTACGCATATTCATTTATGGGAGGTTTTTAAATGTATTTAAAAAGTTGTATGAAAGGGCAATAAACACATGTGACGTAGGAGAATTAACATAAAAAATGCATATGTATAAGTATGTATGTGCATTAGGGTGGTCCAAAAACAGGAAAGTCGGAATTGTAATGCTCTCACCCCCTAGGACTGTTCTATATCGAAAAAAGTACGCCCCCTATTTTTTTATTTTGAATTTTGTATTTTTATATCGGGGAAAAAAGAAACTTTTCGTAGAAATGGTATAGAATTCTTGAAAATCAGTATTTTTCGATCGGAAAACTCTGGTTCTCTTCAGCAGACTTTCAATAATAATACGCAATTATTTATTTAACCATATTTAAATACTAACGATTTTTTTTATTGGTGGCCCTTTTGCATTTTCGCGGTTTTTGTGGATTTTTGGCTGACCTATAAATTATAGTTGCGTTAATTAAACAATTGGGTATTATTACCGGGAATCTTCTGCAGATAAACAGAGTTTTCCGATAGAAAAATATTGATTTTTAAGAATTCTATACCATTTCTACCAAAAGTAGTTTTTTCCCCATATAAAATAATTGGAAAACTTTGGGCGCTTTGAGCGACCTCTAAATATTTTTTGATTTCAAAATAAAAAAAATATGGATATATTTTTTCGGTATAGAACAACAATCCTAGGGGGTGAGAGCATAAAAATTTCGACCTTACTTTTTCACCTGCATATTTGGACTACCCTAATGTACATACATACACATGCGTTTCGGGGAGTCATCAACTGGAAAATTCGTGGCAAATTTATTTAAATTTGTAGTCCTTACATTTGTTCAATAAATCGTCGCCTGAAATGCAAAGACGTAACAACATCGTAACTGAAATGGAAAAAGTCCTGACTAAAATTTTTTATTTTTTTCATTAAATGAAAATCATCATATCAATCAAAAACTGAATTTTGAATTTTTTATTAGTTACGCCTTTTTGAATTTCAGCGACGACATACCCTCTGTGTATTGAACGAGGCCAACTCAAAAAGTAGTAGAAAACAACGTTAAGGGCCGTTTTCTTGACTGCCTGTTAGTACTCGGTAACTCGGTGTTCGGTAGTTTTTTCCCATGTATTTTGTTTGTGTAAAATAGTGTGACACAAAAAAAAATACATGGGAAAAAATTACCGAACACCGAGTTACCGAGAACATCGCGACGGGATTTTTAAGAACGTTGCGACAAGCAACGAAAATATTTCGATGAAAAAAATATTTTTTTCTCGGGTTCGAAACTATCCGGTCTTTTAAGTTGGAACCAACAATACACATCCACAAAATTTTATTGAAATCGGTTATCCGGTTTCGGAGATTAGCGTAAACGAACATAGTGACTCGGTATTTTTATATATAAAGATTGTTCATACTTTAACCAAAACCGTATAAATTAATGTTTCAAACTTTATTGAAATTTTATTGAAATCGGTTATCCGGTTTCGGAGATTAGCGTAAACGAACTTAAGGCCCGTCCGCATAGAACTTTGGCGTTGCGTTGGCGTTGGCGTCGCTTCAACAGCTGACTATGAATACATGAATTCAAACGCAGCCGTCCACATAGCCAAAATTCGACAACGCTCACGCCAACACAAAGCAAAAAGATGGCCAACTCTCATCTTTTCGCGTGCGTCGCTCGTCAGCTGTTGCAAATAAATAAAATTATGTGAAATATTTTCCTTTTTAATCAAGTGCGGGCAAGAAATATCGTTTTTAATGCAATTATTGATATGAAATATTAATTTATCTGTCGTTAGTATGTTAATGTAGTGGCCCAAGCATTCGCTGCCAAGCGCTCATTGTAGCAAGCATACTTTTAACGTGCGTTCTGTCAAACCAACGCCAACGCCAAAGCCAACACGAAAGTTCTATGTGGACCGGCCTATAGTGACTCGGTATTTTTATATATAAAGATTGTTCATACTTTAACCAAAACCGTATAAATTAATGTTTCAAACTTTATCCAAAATTTAGAAATAATACACATTTTCATCACAATTTCTAGCTTTTAAATTTCATCTGCCCTTTAAACACAAATTTTATTCTCAAAAAATGTATTTAATGAGTAGATAAAATTTTTAG